TTAAACAGAGGGTAATAGATTGGGTGTTGATCATGCTTCCCTGCAACAATCTGCAAAGTCATGCAAATATATATGATAATTGTTCATGTGATGCAATCAATTTAAGTGCCTCTTCACTCCTGAACTGGCCACATTGAGCGTTGAGAAAACCTTAGAAATGTGCTTCATCTGTCCTATTATTTGTCAATCTAAAGTGACAGTTTGCAAAATAAATCTTACCACAGGATATTTTATGTGTGTTGTAGATAAGTGTATCAATTCTGTAGAAAATCTGTTTTACACTGAAGTAAGTCCTCGCAGGCTTGCTAAGGAGATCTGAATGAGGGCTAATTGGAGGTGAAGCCCATATTTCACATCAATGATTAACTTATTTCGGCCCATAAACTGCAGTGAGGCTCCCAGCTGCATTAAGGTTCTAATTTGAGAGCTGTGCCAGCAATGCTAATGTTGGAACTAAACACTGTTCCAATCGTGCATACTCACTTACATCGCTTCAAAGTCAGCAGTAAGAAAACAAAGCCCAATAACATTGCAGTAGAGAAGTTGGCTTATTTTAATTTTTCATTGTGAATTGCAATAAATCATATTTTTCAAAAGCCTCTGACAGTTTTGTAATCTTGGGTAGAATTCCATACCCCACCTCCAACCCCTTACTCCCTGCAACACTCCAGGGAAGGTTGGAGGGCCAACAGAGGCAGCATAGTGGCTCAGTGGCTAGCACCACTGCCTTACAGCACCAGGGACCAGGGTTTGATTCCAGCCTTGGGTGATTGTATGGAGTTTGTACATTCTCCCCGTGTCCATGTGGGTTTCCTCCCACAGTCCAAACATGTGCTCTTTGGAAGGTCAGGTACAGACTCAATGGGCCGAATGGCTCTTTCTGTACTGTAGGCGTATCTATGATAAATGAAATGTCATGAGCATCGTGCCTGACCTCTGTCATTTGACAAGTGATTGTAAAATAATTACTTACATCAGGCATCACATTTGCTAACCAATTAATGGTCATTTGACTCTTCCCATCCCACACACAACTATTCCCATGTCGGATTTGCGATGAATGTGAATGTGCCATCTTAAAATTCTCAATTTTCTTCTTCAATTCATCCCGTCTTTGCAGTGATTTTCAAAGCACCCTCTAAACAAGATCCAAAGCAAATCTGCTACGTCAGTAATTAACTTGCCTGCCTGCACACACGACACACGTGTTCATCAATGCAGCCTCAACACCACAGCCACTCTTTTATTGATTAAAGTGCTTCCCTGTTCTTAATGGCCAGCACAGCATCAAGACCACCAACAGTATGTCTGCTCCAATTGACTCACCAGTACCCTACTTAGAGTCATAGAGTCACACAGCACAGAAGAGATCCTTCGGCCCATGAAGTCTGCGCCAAACTATCTTCACTAATTTCACTTTCCAGCACTTGCCCCATTGCCATACTTGTTGTACCCCTGCCAATTATGGAGCAGTTGCCCATTAATACCAATCAACATGGCAACCATTCAAAAAGCACCATTTTGGCCAAGTTTTTAGACAGACGGATAGAAATTTATTGTCAATTGTATTTGTGAAATTACAGGAAAATATGTATAAGTTGCCACAAAAACAGCACAACTTAATTACATACATATATATTAAAGAAATGAAACAAAGTTAAGACAAATATCATTTTTTGTTCATTCCACGGCCTCTTGGTTTCATGAACTGTCTGAAGACCAGGCCCTGCCCAATTGCTGAGGACCGAGGCCTTCTCCAACTTCTGAGGGGTGGGGGCCTCTTGAAACTGCCAAGACCCAGGGACCTGTCGAAAGTGTGAGGACTGGGGGCTTGCCAAAACCGCCAAGAACCAGGGCCTATCGAAACCGCTGATGCCCCCGCTTGCTACTGGATACCCCCATCAGGGAGAAACATCTTCCCAGCATCCACCCTGTCTATTCCTTTCAGTAATTTGTAGTTTTTAATGAGCTTACCTCTCAGAAAGAGAAGGAAAGTGAAGGGAAGACATTTTGCAAAGGGTCTGCCCCTTTTCGAACAAGAGTTGCCAAGGTCAGAGTGAGTGTTTTATTATTTCTGCCACTGAGGCTTTATTTTTGCTTTTGCATGTTAATCTGTTTTTCTCCAAAATATCTTAAAAACTAATGAATGGATTTCAAAAAAAAAACTTGGTCCATCTATAGAGATTAGCTCCTCGCAAAGTTAGAATGTCCTGTTGATATTGTGCAAATGGACTTTTTTTTAAGAGTGTTGTGGCTTGACTTGTGTGCTATGGTAGAATTTGTAATAGTTGTCAACATGTGAGCAGAGTTTTAAGAGCAGGTTGTTGTATTTAGAATTGAATTAAACCTCCTCAGTAAGATTAAGCACTTGATAAAACTATTCATTTTATCAATGTTGTAGTCACAGAGTGCTTTTGACCGAGCAGGGAAAAGCCCTAGGCAACAGCTGCATATAATCACATTGAGTTAACACAGCACGGCAGAGGGATGGTTTAAACTGTGTTCCATTTTCACTTGTGGATTAATGTGCATGCTTTCATGTGACTCACATGGTTAGATGACATGATAGTGCAGAACACCATTTTTTTCCTTCTGAAGCATTTGACAGACAGGATTTTTCAAAAACTGATGATTTTATTTAAGAATGGATCAAAAAATAGGAGCATAAATTGGCCATTCAGCCCCTTGAGTCTGATCTGCCATTCAATATCATTGCTGGTCTGAAGCACGGTAGAGGAAAATTTTCTGAAAATTCATTGTAAATTCATTTTAAAGATGTGTCGGTTCGGGAGCCACGCATTCGTCCCCATGAAACTGGATGCATCTTAGTGCAGAAGATGCAAATTAAGCTCTACCCCAGTGATGGGAATATAATTCACACTGATATTCCCAGTGCAGTCATGAAGGGGGGTTGTACAGCAGGGAGCTGCCATCTTTGATTCCAATCTGCTCAGGTGACATAAAAAATCCCATGACATTATTTTGATGATCAAGGGAGTTTTCCTTGGAGGCCCTGGCCAACGTTTAATCAGCATCACAAAAAAGAAGTGGCTATTCCAACATTGATATGTGAAAAATTGCTGTACATTTCCTACAGTATAACAGTCATTGCACTTCAGATGCATTTAATTAGCTGTAAGTCGCTTTTGAATATACTGAGAATGTGAAGATGACTATGTAAATAAAAGCTCTTTCTCTCTTAAATTGCGGTATGATACAAAGTGGCAATAAACATGAAAACTCTAGTCTCAGCTAATTCCAGCTTCCCCTTGGATGGGTGAGTATTGGCAAGATCTGGCTTTGCCAACATGTGTGCAACCTATCCAGATTTGGATAAGGGGGTCTGTGTCTATGGAAAAGTGTCTCCACTCTACACTGGTCAAACATGAAAGGCCTTGATGAGGCCACACCTTGAGTATTGTGTGCAGTTTTGGTCTCCTAGTCTGAAGGAGGACATTCTTGCTATTGAGGGAGTCCAGCAAAGGTTCATCAGACTGATTCCCAGGATGGCAGGAATGACATAGGAAGAAAGATTGGATCAACTGAACTTGTTCTCATTGGAATTTAGGAGAATGAGGAGGATCTCATAGAACATATAAAATCCTGATAGGCTGCACAGGCTAGATGAAGGAAAAATGTTGCCAATGTTGGGGAAGCCCAGAACTAGGGATCACTGTCTAAGAATAAGGGTAAGCCATTCAGGACCAAGATGAGGAAGAATTTCTTCACACAGAACATTGTGAAAATGTGGAATTCTCTTCCGTAGGAAGCTGTTGGGGCCAATTCATTAGATATATTCAAGGGGGAGCTGAACGTGGCCCTTGCAGCTAAAGGGATCAGGGAGTATGGAAAGTGGGAATGGGATACTGAAATTGCATGGTCAGCCACATTGAATGGTGGTGCAGGCTCTAAGGGCCAAATGGCCTCTTCCTGCACCTATTTTCTATGTTTCCATGAACCCTACAGTAGCTTGACTTGCAAACTCTTGGTTTTGGTGATTGTCTTCATATGTCCATGAGAAGGAGGGTGACACTGGTTTAGAGAATCTGAGCAGCCTAAAGCTTGAGCAATATGTGCTTCAATCCCTTCATGGCAGCTGGTAGAATTTAAATTTAAATTAATAAGTGAATGAAAATTTGAAAACAAATCTGGAATTGAAAGTGGTCTCAGTAACAGTTTCAGTGATGGTGTGCATGATTAATTGTTTTAAAAACCTATCTGTTTTACTGATGATCCTTTAGAGAAGGAAATCTGCCATCCTTACTCAGTCTGGTCTCCATGTGACTCCAGTCCCACTGCAATGTGGTTGTATCTTAACTGCCCTGTGAAATGGGCTAACAGACCACTGAGTTCAAGTGCAATTTGCCAGTGCCATATCTTGTCATAATAGTAAAAAGAACTGACTAACAGCAAGACATTTGCCAATAGATCTGACATGCCATCATGCAGTAACCCAAGAGCCCTGGACAACTGTCATACAATCCCTACAATGTGAAAGCAGGCCATTTGGCCCATTGAGTCGATACTGCCCCTCTGAAGAGCATCCCACCCAGACTCATCCCCCTACCACGTCTCTGTAACGCTGCATCTCCCATGGCTAATCCACGTAGCCTGTACATCCCCAGACGCTATTGCAATTTAGCATGGCCAATCCACCTAACCTGCACATCTTTGGACTGTGCGAGGAAACCCACACAGGCACAGGGAAAACGTGCAAACTCTACACAAGCACGGAAGCATGGAATCAAACCCGGGTCCCCTGGCACTGTAGGGCAGCAGTTCTAACCACTGAGCCACTGTGACACCCTCAATGTCAATGCCCCAAATGTCATCCATGAGTAACAGCACATTGAATCGCTGTGATATAATCACAGCCACCTCATTAGTTCCAATCAAAAGAATGCGGTTATCCAAAGAATATAGTTTCTAGTGCCATTCAGATAAGAATTCAATTTTACTTTTGTGTGATCATCACTATACTCTCTCTCTTCCAAATCCAGGTGTATTGGTGTTGTCTTGGTATCCTTCTGGATTAGAAGACAACAACAGCGAACCAGTGGATGACCTGGTACCTGCCATACTGGATGCTGCAGACAGATACAGTTTAAAGGTATGACAATGGACGGCCAGCAACGTTTTAAGCGCACATCGACTTCTCAGTAGCACATATTCACTTTATGGTGCCGGAGTTGATTTCCTCATCTTTTTCAAGAAGATCAAAGGAATTGGAGGAGATTTTTTTTAGAAAAGGGGAAATTTGAGGGGCTGAATGTGAATATGAAAATGTGCTAGTAGATAACAAAAAGTGGTAGCAAATCTTTTCCTAACATCTGGAAGAAACCGAGAGAAGGCATAATTTCTCAGGATGAAGGAGGAAATTAATTAGAGAGGATGAAGGTATGACAGCAACATTTCTTTAGATCTTGGTCAAAACCAATCAATTTATCAGATAAAGAAGAAATTCAAATTCCTGTTTATTTACAGAAAAAATGAAGCCACAAAATTCCACAGTTTCAGACCAAAGAGTTTTTATTATGCAAAAATCAAACCAATACTAAATACTCTCTAAAATTAACATGTTAAACATGCATTGATAGACAATTGTGATCTACTATAAATTATAAATTACACCTTTATTGGTAAATATGACTAAGATAGAGCTTTCAAACTGGCTCAGAATATAGGTCATTAGTTTCTGTAACAAAATTCTCAAAGCTATGTCTTCCTCACAAAGAAATTCAGTGCCTGTGCTAGGATTTAGCCTGACTCCCAACCAACAACAGCAGACAATTAGCCCAAATTCCATGGACACATCTTCAGCACAAAAGGCACACGTCTCCAAAGACTCCTCAACTCTGATTCGATGATATAAATTCACCAATGTTATCTTCAGGTAACAGAGACAGCTGCAGGAACTGTATCTGCTTATTCTGGTTCTAGCCTCCATCCTAATTGGCCTGGCCACAGTGCACCACTGGACTCAATGATACTGAAGTATAGCTTTAACAAAATGTTTTGGTTTCCAGTTCTCACTATCAGTCTTAGTTTTAGTTAGGGAATTGCTCAAAAGGTACAAGCTTTGCCCACAGTTTATCACACATTAAGGAATTGGTTTGCATTAGTTTTACAAACAAGGTATGAATGTAGATGTGACTGAGGAGGATGTAGAGTGTTTGGGAGAGATTCTTGTCTAAAATTAATTGCTCCTGAGCAGAACTCCAGATGGGTAGATCACCACATCCCAAAGCCATGGACACCAGGGTGATGGGCCAAATGGCCTGCTTCCGCACTGTAGGAATTCTATGATTTGATGATTTGGACAGACATAGGGGCCACGACATCAACTAGACTGATGATAATAAATTCATAAAGTCTGAGAAACAGTGTAATGGATTGTAAAAGACAATGGAGGACACTGAGCAGACATAACTTACTCTGGAACAATGGGAATTAGTACTTTTTCAGAGCTACTACATTTGGGAAGGAAAACAAGGAATCAGAGAAAATATTCAACAGGAAGCAGACAGCAGTTGAAACTTATGGCATACTGGAACATTCCTTGTTCCAGTCCCTTCTCCAGCCCTCACCCACAACTCTTTCTCCAGTACATCAACAACATCAATGGTGCTGCCTCCCTCTTTTGTCTGGAATTGGGAAATTTTTTTTAAATTAGAAAAGCCTTGTCATCACATGGGCTGCTACCACAACCATCCCATTGTCAGCTACTAATGTTCCACTTAGCAGCTATTCATTTCTCCTGATTGACTTTTCCCATTCTTTTGACGTCCAACTGTTGTTCTCTCTTTCTGGGCTTCATTTCCACCTATTGTTTATTCCTACCCCACCCTCCTCCCCCCCCACCAACCTTTCTTTAGCATACATACCAACCTTTTCCCAGTTACAACCAGTTCTGAAGAAGGGTAACTGGACCCAAACCATTAACTCTGCTTTCTCTCTACGGATGCTGCCAGACCTGCTGAGTTTCTGTTTTGCTTTAAAATTTGAAGATGTTGAACTCGTTGTTGAGTGCCGAATGCTGTAAAGATGAGCTAAAGACATAGAAACATAATAAATAGAAGCAGGATTAGGCCATGCCCTTTCAGGCTGCTTCTCCATTGAATATGATCATGGCTGATCATCCAACTCAGGGCCCGGTTTTCCCATTTTTTCTTACTCTTTGATGTCTTTAGCCCCAAGAACTACATCTAACTGCTACACTATGAGCCAACATTGTGTCCCACTGGAGTACTGAGGAGGCCAAAGACAGAGAAGCCAGCATGTGAAATAAAGAATTAAAACACAAGGGGATGAATGCTCAGACTGAACAGATGCATTTTGCAAAGAAATACCTGATCTGTACTGGGAGGAAACACTCTGAGCAGTGAACATAGAAGAATGTGCACGCAAATCACTGTTTCCCCTGTAAGGAGTGTTTCAGGCCTCAGGCACGGAGGAGGGAATGAAAACTGATTTCCTTGTACTTCTTTCCATTTAGTGTAACAGGGATGTGAGGATGTCCTCAGTTTAATCTGAAAGTGTGACCTGAGCTTTCAGCCTTCTCACTTTTTAATTTTCCCATTTGTTCCCATTCAATGAACCCTGAGCTAAGTCTCCCACAGTGTCCAAATGAAACTCAACATTAACTCAAAGCAAAAAACCTCATTCTTCAATTCCTGCCTTCCAGACACAGTATTGAGTTCAGCAATTTCACATCATAACCTCTGATCCCATTTTGGCTCCTTTTTCTTTGCTGGATTTAGTTTCTGTCTCTTCAATTTTCTTCCAGAGGACAGCTGTTAATGATTCTGCCTCTTACACCTTCTCTGCACACACCTTTAGTTTCTCCACTTTCCTCACAATCACTCCCTTTGAACTGCACTGTCACTTAATTTAAGGCCCTACTCTCTACCCTCTCATCTTCACTTTTGTTTTTTTTTCCCCCCATTCTGCCCTCTTTGACTTACTTAAAACCCATTCTATGTCTAATTTTACTCAGTTCTGATGACAGTCATTGTCCTGAAATGTTAACTCTTGTCTCTCTCTCCACAGACTCTGTCTGGCTTTTTCTTTAAATTCATTGCTAAGACGTGGGTGTCACTGGCTGTGCCAGCACTTATTGCCCTTGAGAAGGCGGTGGTGAGCTACCTTCTTGAACTGCTGTAGTCCTTTTGGTAGATCACAGTGCTGTAAGGGAGGGAGTTCCAGGATTTTGACCCAGTGGCACTGAAGGAATGGTGATGTAGTTCCAAGTTAGGACGGTGAGGGGCTTGGAGGGGAGCTTGCAAGTGTTGATATCCCCTGCTTCTGCTGCCATTGTTTTTTAAGATGGGAGTGGTCGAGGGTTTGGAAGATGCCGTCTAAGGAGCTTTGGTGAATTTCTGCAGCCCATCTTGTAGATAGTATATGCTGCCGCTACCAAGCGTTGGTGGTGGAGGGAGTAGGTACTTATGGATGTGGTACCCGTCAAGGGGGCTGCTTTGTCTTGGATAGTGTTAAGCTTCTTGAGTGTTGTTGGAGGTGCACCAAGCCAGGCAAGTGGGGAATATTCCATCACACCGCTGACTGATGCCTTGTACAGGGCGGTAAGGTATTTGGGAGTCAGGAGGCAAATTACTTGCTGCAGGATTCCTAGCCTTTGACCTGCTCTTGAGGCTTAGTATTTATGTGATGAGTACAGTTCAGTTTCTGGTCAATGGTAACCCCCCCAGGATGTTGATGGTGAGGTATCAAGTGATGGTAATGCCACTGAATGTCAAGGGGTGATGATATTCTGTCTTGTTGGAGATGATCACTGTGTGGCACGAATGTTACTTGCCACTGGTCAGCCCAATTCTCAATATTGTCCCGGTCTTGTTGCACCTGAATATGGACTGTTTCAGTATCTGACGTGTGGCAAATGGCTGCTGAACATTGTGCAATTATCGACAAACATCCACAGTTCTAATCTCATGCTGGAGGGAAGGTCATTGATAAAGCAGCTGAAGATGGTTGGGTCTAGGCCATGACCCTGAGGAACTCCTACAGAGATGGTTTGAGCTGAGATGACTGACCTTCAAACACGACAATGGAGTATTCTCAGTATTTTCCACTGTTATTTGAGATGTCCAGCATTATTTCACTTTAGCATTATTTTTTCCTTCTGTGTTGTCTTTGTTTCCTGCCCCTTCTTCCTTCCTTTGAAGAACAATTGTTCTTTAACTTTTGGTGTTTTATTTTTATCTCGTCTTTCTTGCTGTCAACTGCGTGTTCTTCAAAGTCTGCTTCCAATGTGATCACATCCCTCCATGCTCCTTCTTATCTGTCTATCTCTTTCTCTCTCACACATACCTATGAAGTCAGCAACTCAAGTTCCTTTCCTTCAGGTTCATCAAATGGAATCACTGATAGTGTGCTTTAGTGGAGAAAAGGGTGGGCTGTATCCATGGTTACAATATTACTCAAAAGTTCCTCTACAACTGTTTACCTTTACTTGTACTCAAAAGATTCATGGGTTGGAGAGGGCACAAAACAATTTATAAAAGTTCCCTAGTGTGAAAAGGGTATGAGCTATGAGGAAAATGAAATCTTACAAAAACAAATTTTAATCATGATTTGGGAAAATTAAATTTTGAAAGATTTTGAATATTTTCAATAATCTAACAGGCACTCCACCCTCATCCACTTAACAGAACTTGTCCTTACCCTCAACAACTTTTCCTTTAACTCTTTCCACTTCCTACAAACTAAAGGGGTGGCTATGGGCACTCGTATGAATCCAAGCTATGCCTGCCTCTTCATAGGATACATGGCACCGTCCCTCACCTCTTCCTCCACTACATTGATGACTGTATCAGCGCTGCCTCATGCTCCCATGAGGAGCTTGAACAGTTCATCAACTTTACTAACACCTTTCACCCCAACCTCAAATTCACCTGGACCATCTCCGATAGCTCCCTCTCCTTCCTGGACCTCTCTGTCTCCATGTCTGGTAACCGTCTGAACACCGACATCTATTTCAAACCCACCTTGACTACATCTCCTTTCAACCACCCTCCTCTGCAAGAATGCGATGCCATACTCCCAACTGCTCCTCCGCCTCTGCCACATCTGCTCCCAAGACGGAGCGTTTCT